CAAGCAGCTCTGTGGGTGCCACAACACAATGGCAGCTGGCACAAGGTAGCAGAGAAGATATCCGTACCAGTCACTGTGGAAGTGGTGACATTGGGTGAGTAATTGGTTATTAAGGTAAACAGGCTTTTGAATTAAGCTGAGCTGCTGATGATTATGTGGACACTTTTGTGCAGTTGTAACTTCTGTGGACAATTATGACGGTTATTATTTGATTTAATGGGAATTAAACATTTGAAGGCTTTAGCTGGCCAACCATTATGATACAATAATGGTAATTTCTTTTTCTGTGTTCATTTCAGAATTTAAAAAAGAGGCCATTCAGTGGTGACATTTCCCCCCCCTAAGGTTTAGATTGAGAAAAGTTTGTTTGTTTGTTTGTTTATTTAGATTTGTACACCGCCCTATCTCCCTTACGGGACTCAGGGCGGTTGTTCATATCAAAAGTTGTTCATATCAAAATCATGAATGTTTTAACAAATATTTGAAGATAAGTACCTTTGCTTTGCTTGCATCTGATTGATTATGTCTATTTTAATTTGGTATTGATTTTTTAAATGAACGTTATGAGGAATTATGGGTTTTGTTGTATTTTTATTGTTTTATATTTTGAACTTGAAAACTTCTTAGAGATTTCAGTTTCGAAATGTTAGATGGGAGATCTCAAAATAATCAATTGTAATGTTTTAAACTACTAAATTTTTCTATCAGTTCATGTTCAGTAAATGATCATTTAAGTATTGCTATGATATAGAAAGCAGAACTTACAAACATCTAAATTACATTTTCAGAGTTTCACAGATCAGATCTCAACTGATACAGTCAGTTGTTTGTCTTGACACTTTCCTTCTAACTTGCTTATTTGTTATTTTATCTTTGGATAATGAAACTGTAAGAAGAGGCAGATATTATTTTTCAAATTTATGCTTCAATTAAAGTTTTCATCTTGGAATGAAACGGCAACATTTGAATTCAAATAATTCTTGAGATCTGTTTCTATATTTGATGAAACAGAAATGCAAAATGATATCACACAATATAAAAAGAGAACTGGGTGAATATCAGATTTCTTTAGACAAAGTTTTCTAATTTCAGTATTTTTCTGTAACTATATAAATATTGTGTTTTTGATAATTTTTATTCTACTTTCTGAACTGGACCCTTAAGCTGCTGAGATACGTGTCTGCAAATATACTAAAAAAATTAACATTTAACATTTAAGCATAAGCATTACAGAAAATTAAAGCACATATTCGTGAAGATCCATGTGGTTAAATAAAGTTTTTCTTGATATACCGGGATCTTTTCTAGAATAATTAAAAAATCAAGTTTCTTCATGTTTTATTTTTCACTTAGAATCCCAATAATTCTGGATAGGTTTTGAAACAGTAAAAGGGCAAAGCTGGAGTAGTTGTTTTATTTAATGCCCAAGTTACCTTAAGTGTAGTCCAGTAGTATTTGTGTAACTGATTGCACTTACTTGCAAGAATATCTTGTTTAAGTTCACTGAGATTTTGGGATGCTAAATTGTAATATTGTTGATTCTGATTTAGCATGGCATGTTATGAACTCATCTAGGGTTTGTATGCTGTTTCTTCCTTCTAGGAATAGCTTTGCATCTAATATTACCATCATTATGTTGCAATGATTAAGATTTTGGGCTAAGAGTGAGTTGAGACACAGGTTTTTTAAGCATGTGGGAAAATTGGTTGATGGGGTGTTATATAGATGGAGTATTAGATATGTTATTTCCCGCTCCTAAAAGGCAGGCAAGATGCAAATAAAAATGGCAAAATAAACTGGCACAATAATGTATTATATTGTATATATTAGGTTTAAGATTAGTAAAACAAAAATAAAGAACTATCAGTTATTTAAAACTTGGTTTTTATTTCTGCCTTTTTTATTTCTTTAATATATGTTGTTTTCTTATAACTTTTTTAATTGTTAGCTTCCCAGAATTACTGTGTATTTTGTGATTCACCTGGACCTTGAAATTAAAATTATAAATTTGAAAAAGATCCAGAAATGAAAATGACCTAATTTTCCTCCTTTTTTTATTTACCTGGAGATAAGAGAATAAGCTTGTGCCTCTTTTCTCATACATAAGGCATACATACTTCACCACTAAGTATAAGAGTACCTAGAGGTTGTAATATGAAGAATGTAAATTCATGTTCTCTGCTGGCTAATCCAATTGTCTGCATGCTAGGCAGATTTAAAGAAGTACAACTATTTTCCAGTATAGTTCCCTTTCAGATATCATCTTGTAGTCTCCTTACTCTCAAGTTGGCTTAAACAGGAGACTTCTATTCTGTTTTTGAAAAGTTGTCTATAGCCAGTGGGAATTTCTGCTTCTTTATACTACAATTATTACTTGGGTTAGGTGAAGGTAAAGGATAAAGCTATTTTTAATGACCTTGTATTGCCTGGGGGAGTAAAGTGGGAGAAGAATTCTCATCATCAGAGATACATAAATTGTATCCAAATTTCATCAGCAGCCTCCTGCTCTTCCTTGATAGAAGTCAGAGAGCTTGGCAGGGTATTAATTCATTGAACTGTCAGTAAGGCTGTTCTTTGACAGTTGACAGAGTGCAGGAATGAGGCTTAATCCAGCAAGCTTTTATTCCTTCCTTCTAAATCCTCAGTTAGAGACTCAGTGTCAAGAGCATAGCTGGAACACTATTCTCAAAGTCAAAATTTTACCTAGCAATCCACTTCTACAGACTTTGCAAATATTTGTGGAGTTGGCTAAAACTTCATTTCCCTATAACTTTATTCTCATTCTTATCAGAGTAGAAAACAGTTGTTCATGTTTCCATGTTGCAAACTATCCGGTTTAGTAAACTCTAGCATTGTCTGCAAGAACTTTAGTGATTTATACGAGAGCCACATATATATTTATCCACTTTAATATCTGAATATATCTTCTAAGAGTAGGAGAAAATCAAAATTACATACGATCATGATATCAGATTTACTTCAACTTTAAAAGTTGTTAGATTCACTTAGTGCAACTTGATGTTACTTCAGAGCTATTTAGCATCAAGAATAAGTCAAAGTGTGTGACTGTCTAACATTTATTTGTTTGGTTGATATTTTCCCCTGTTAATAGGGCATTGAAAGTAAACAGCAACAATTAAAACTGTGCAAAAAAATAATCTGGTATATTTGGGTATAATCATCCAAAATGTTGATTTCTTGCCTTACATATATCATAAAATGCACAGGAAAACAGGTTTCTCAGTTTGAAATGTGAAGTTCAGAATGCTTTGAATTTTAGGAAAAGTCTTTGCATATATTGAATCAATATCTTTATTGAGTCAGTTGAGGGTTTATGACATAGTGTTCAAGACTTAAACTTCTGTAACAAACTTCATCACTATTCTTTAATTAATTGAAAACTAAAAATGTATACACAAGTGGCTTAATAAAAACGTTTTATTTTTATCTTCTCTTGACCAACATAAAATGATGCTCTATGTATTTGTGTGTGATTATTTTACCAGTTTAACAAAATTATACTACACAATCTGCCTTTTGTTATTTTCCTAGCAAATACAGATAGTCTTCGACTTACAATAATTCATTTAGTGACTGTTCAAAATTATGATACTGAAAAAATGACTTATGGCTATTTTTCGCAGTTACAACCTTTGTAGTATCCTCATGATCATGAGATCAAAATTCAGATGCTTGGCAACTGGTTCATACTTATGACTGTTGCTTTGTCCCAAGGTCATGTGATCACCTTTTACAACCTTTTGACAAGCAAAGTCAATGGGGAAGCCAGATTCACTTAACAACCGAATTACTAACTTATCAACTACAGTGATTCACTTAACAACTGTGGCAAGAAGGGTAAAATGGGGCAAAACTCACTTAACAAATGTCTTAACAGAAATTTTGGGCTCAATTGTGGTCATAAGTCAAGGACTAGCTGTAATGCCATGAAGAAGTAGATATAATTAGCTGATAGGACAATCCACATTCCTTGCCATGACTGGTAAAATACTAAAGAAGCTTTGCAATTTAAAATCATGATGTATGTGAAAATATAATCTATATTCGGGATTGGTTCTGTTTCATACTTTTAATTGTTACTTTGACTTTCTTTCTGTTTTCCAAAACCTACATAGAACCAAATTACTACGTATTTTTGAATGCTTCTAAAACACCGCTGTTTGCTGAGGATCCCACAGAGCTTGAATGTAGGATCATGGAGGTACAGAATGCCGAGACAAATGTTTATTTCACTGTGTCCTGGTACTATAGGATGCCCACACGCAGTGATGAAGACCATCTTATACTTGAAGACCGGTGATACCTACGTCTGACCTGTGACCATGAACCCCCCTTTTCGTTTGTTGCACGAGTCTTACCCCTTTAATAAAAGAGATTTGGTTTCCATCTGTGGAAGGCAAATGCTTAGGTTACCTGAAGACTTTGGCTGTCTCCTCTTATAATAACACATTAAAGAAGTACCTCGTCTGTCGCAAACAACAGCTGGATAAAGATCAAGGATGTGGCTTCTACGCCTGTAAGCATTTTATGGTCTACACAAGGTAGGATTTCTGCAATTCTGACTTTATATATATATATCTATAAAGGTTTTTAATAAGTTGTACATGCATTTCCCCACAGCCAACTTTGAAATGTAGAAAGCAGAATAGCCAAATGTACAAATGAGCAGTAGGGCGACCTTTAATAAGAATAATAAATAGCTACCAGTGTAAGGTTAAGATACATTTATTAGGAGAAGAGATATATGTACTACAAGCCTTATTTCTTTAAACATCTTGCCAAGAAGCAGCCTGAAGTAAATCTAAGGAGAATGTGTACCCCAGAGGACATAGTGGCCTTGAAGTAATTCTTGTGTCCTTTGTGTTACAAAGAATGGGACAAGACAATAAAAGCATGTTCTTTTTAAATATCAAAAGGCATGATTCATTCAGCAGGCTGAATGCATAGGATGAAGTTTTGTAGCTTTTTAAACATCGACAAAATAGTGTTGATAACAGTTAAAAAAATTATAATGTATTCAGTTGTAATTCTTTGAAATGTCTCAAGACTCTCAATTGTTTTGCTTCAAAAGACTAATACAGATATTAGGCCTTCAACTTTTAAAACATTAAATTTGATTATTTAAAGTGAAAAATCTGAAAGTGAAGGTTTAAATTCAAGAGCTAAAATAAATTTAATTTTGTTGCAGACTCTTGAAAAGATGTGAGAAATAAAACTCCTTTGCCTAGCACTAAAATTATAACTTAGCCCGTTATGTGATTGGTCTTCTTTCAGCTGGTCTGATAAAATGTTAACTGAGTTAACTGAAAAAAAAGTGTCATGTTTTCCAGGTAGTCTTGTCATCTACGAGTATCTTATTGAATATACAACTTACAAGCCATTTTTTATTTCAGATTAGGTACAATCTTCTCATAAAAAATAAGTATTTTTATTCAGTAGTCTCTGATTGCTCTCTGTAATCTATGCAAATAACTTAAGGGCAAGACTTTAAGAGAGTTGATACTAAATTAAACAATCCATTTTAAGCAGCTGACATTCTAATGCATTTGGTTAGTCAGCAACTAAAAAGAAGATGTGAATATTTCTTTATTCATGATGGATACTTCTACATCATGGGTGTCAAACTCGCACCGTCACGTGACGTGTCGTGACGTATCGTGACTTTTCCCCCATTGCAGGCAATGGGGTGGGCACAGTTTTTACCTGATGTATCTGGCCCGCAGGCTGGCAGTTTGACACCCCTGTTCTACATGTATTGATTTGAAAATATTGTAGAGCTCCCTGATCCCACCAGTTCCTTGTTCTTTGCTGCAATTCTTGACTCCACTTTTGCAGAGATGCCGTCATTCACCATTCCTCCCCTCTAATGTGTCGGAAGTGTTAATGAGCTGAGCAAATTTATTTTATTGTCATCTGTGGTGTAGTCAGAGAAATTAGTATTGTCTTTTGCAATGTTTTTTGACAACTTGGAACTTAGGTTGCTGAATTTTCTCACTGGAGAGAATTTCTGATTCATCTCACTTCAAGGCATCTGGCTTTGATTAACTTAGTATATTTCCTTAGCAGAGAATAAAGTTTGATCAGTTTGCAGTTCAATAGCTGAGTTCTCATGGAATCAAACAACAGAGCATATATAATGCTAGCAATGTACATCTCTTCTATAGATTGAGGGTGAGGAACTTTTTTAAACTAGAAACTAGAGCAGCGATTGAAATTCTTTGCTCCTTATTCCAAGTATTTTGATATCAGTGCTAGTGAGAATCTCTGTGTCAGTTTGAAAGTACTTCTGGAGACTTGGAGAATGAAAACAGTGATGATGTGGAAAGGGTCTAATTTCAGAAGTTGAATATCAGCCATTCCATGTATATTCAGGTTTCACATGTACGTAAATGAACTTAAGTGCTATTTTTTCATTAACTGATAACAGAAATAGTTTTGAGGAATTGGGTGTATCTTCCAAAGTTGCTAGATGTCCCAATTTGTGTTCTTCTAAGATGAAATAAAAATAATAACCTAATAACCAAAAAAGTACAACAAATTCTTGGCTCCTATCTTATGGTCCTTTCATTGAGCTCTGCATACTTTCTAGTCTTCATTCACTTCTTTATTGATGTTTTTCTATTTTGGGAGCCAGTCATATGTGTGCTGGAAGAGCTTCATTCATAGTTCCTCATGAGGAATAGATAGCCTTTCATAGTTAGAAACATCTTTATCGTATGTTACTTGGTTTTTAGCAGTGGAAGATGTTAAGGCTCCCTTTGTGGAAGGGAGTTTTTTCTGTAATAAATCATGAATATTGATAATGTAGCATTCTAGAACACCATGGCTGATTTCAGCTGTTTAACAGTCTACTGTACTTTGATATTGACCAGAACCAACTAATCAGAGTCTTTTAAAAAGACATACAGAAAAACATATCTAAGTCCAGGAATTTCAGTTCCATCCAGTCTCCGTATGTATAAAGTTATCTATAATTTCTACCTTTAGGGGTATTTATTAAACAGTTTTGTTGACAAATTGCAGTCTTCTGAAAATCATTACTAATTCTCCAAGTGTGTCCTGATATACTTTCCATCTGCCTTTGTTTTTTGAACAAGGATGGGCGGAGATAGCTCAGTAACTAGTAGTAAAACCCTATTTAATGCCTGGCTAACAATGGTTCATAAAAATTGGAGCTTTCATACTGGATTCTGTTATGTTTCTGTGGCACAGACAGCCATCCATATGTCCCAGTTTGTCACATCACTCTTTGAGTAAGGACTTTTACCTCTCAGCTTTCAGAAGAATAGGTTGTCCCAATTTTGAAATGCAATCCCTCAGTAAAACATGCCCTTTTATTTTCTCCAATCATATCACTTTGGATTGTGTATAACATCTTAAGAGTAAGCCTGAGGCAAGGGCTGCATTATTATTGCTCCTACAGTTTATTTTGAGAGAATAACAAATAGTGTTTAATAAGAGGTCAGAGCAGTTGATATTTAGAGCACAATAAAGTTTAGAAAGGAAAAGAAAAACTACAGTTTATAGCTACGTTTCCGGTTTTTAGTAATTACCATTACACAAAAATAGAAGATTAGGATAAAGCTGTGCATCACAAATTATTTTTGGATGTTCGTTGTTCTGAAGCAGCAGCTGAGTGTTACATAGTAATTCAAGACACGTGCTTAAAGTACTGCAGCGTGTTCATATGTCCAAGTGCACATAACAAATAATCCACCATAAAACAAAATATTTATAGACACTTGCACATATAAATTCTTTTTTTCCTCTCTTTGTATGTGCCTTAGAGATTCTCCAACAGAAAAATTACAGTAGGGAGGAACCCTGCTTTCCATAGAAAATGACCATCTTTCAGTTATTTTTTGTCATTGGCCTCAACATGGTGGCACGAGTCCAGTGGCATGAAAAGAGATGGTGGGGAGAAGGCATACTGCATGAAAGGATCTGGGATTTCCCTGAATTAGCCTCTCTCAACTTGTTATTAACTGGAGAATTCTTGGGAAAATCCAAAACAAATATACACTACTGCTTTTCTTGAATGAGCAAATGGATTAGGTGACGTTTCCCCACAACTCATGTTGGAAGACTCTTGTCTAGTCCATCTTGTATGATTCAAGCTCTGGTGGACAAAATCAGGGATAGTTTCCAGTATAGACTCAAGCCAACTGTATGTTGCTTCCTTTAAGGCTTTAAAATGGAGACATAATTGTTTTGTAATGCAATTTCAAGGAGCTGTTTCTTTTGAAGCTTTGTACAAAGAAAGTGCTTTTTTTGTCAAGAATCTAAATCACAATCACATGACTATGAGGTACTCCAACAGCTGTAAATTTGGGCACTGGTCAGTAAGTCCTTTCGTTCACTTATGTTGTAATTTTAAATGGTCACTGAATGAACAATTGTTAATTGAGGACTACCTGTACTACTCTTTTACTGCAATTAACAAAAGTACCGTTTAACACAGTGATATACATATTTTTTCAATTGATGAAATATACTAAAATAATTAAATTGGAATACCCTGGAACACCCTGAATTTAAAGGAATTTCCCTGAATTGCAGGAGTGGAATTAATAATCTGAAGTTTGCCTTCCCTGTTATAATTCTTCTAATATTTGTGCCACAGACCCCAATTTTGATTCACTGTCTAAATATCTATCTGACCTGCATTGCCATCTTCTCTTATCTCCTTATTCATGTACACCAGTGATAGTAGTTTTATTTCTGAAGCCTAGAAAGGGGCGTTGGTCTTACCTGAACGCCATTTCTCAGCATGATGATGGATAATCCACTTGATTGGGTTTCCTGAAGTCCCTTGTACCCAATAAGACTAAGTCTGCGATGGCCACGCCTCCTGCCTGGCCGCACATGCCCAGTTCAGACGGAGGCGAAAGCAACAGACAAAGTCAGGCGTGTTGTTCTCCAGACCCCTANTGGTAGAATATGAACTTCTGGCCACTATGGATGCAGACTGGACACTGGTACTTGGGGGGAAAAGCAAACAACGTGCTCAGAATGGGGAAATTATTTTCTCTAAACCAAAGGTAGACACCTTCCGTTTACGAATCCAATGGACTTCTGAAACCGACAGAGGAGAATATTATTGTGTAATTTCTTCATGGAGCAGACAGCGCAACAACAGCTGGATAAAGATCAAGGATGTGGCTTCTACGCCTGTAAGCATTTTATGGTCTACACAAGGTAGGATTTCTGCAATTCTGACTTTATATATATATCTATAAAGGTTTTTAATAAGTTGTACATGCATTCCCCACAGCCAACTTTGAAATGTAGAAAGCAGAATAGCCAAATGTACAAATGAGCAGTAGGGTGACCTTTAATAAGAATAATAAATAGCTACCAGTGTAAGGTTAAGATACATTTATTAGGAGAAGAGATATATGTACTACAAGCCTTATTTCTTTAAACATCTTGCCAAGAAGCAGCCTGAAGTAAATCTAAGGAGAATGTGTACCCCAGAGGACATAGTGGCCTTGAAGTAATTCTTGTGTCCTTTGTGTTACAAAGAATGGGACAAGACAATAAAAGCATGTTCTTTTTAAATATCAAAAGGCATGATTCATTCAGCAGACTGAATGCATAGGATGAAGTTTTGTAGCTTTTTAAACATCGACAAAATAGTGTTGATAACAGTTAAAAAATTATAATGTATTCAGTTATAATTCTTTGAAATGTCTCAAGACTCTCAATTGTTTTGCGTCAAAAGACTAATACAAATATTAGGCCTTCAACTTTTAAAACATTAAATTTGATTATTTAAAGAGAAAAATCTGAAAGTGAAGGTTTAAATTAAAGAGCTAAAATAAATTTAATTTTGTTGCAGACTCTTGAAAAGATGTGAGAAATAAAACTCCTTTGCCTAGCACTAAAATTATAACTTAGCCTGTTATGTGATTGGTCTTCTTTCAGCTGGTCTGATAAAATGTTAACTGAGTTAACTGAAAAAAAGTGGTCATGTTTTCCAGGTAGTCTTGTTATCTATGAGTATCTTATTGAATATACAACTTACAAGCCATTTTTTATTTCAGATTAGGTACAATCTTCTCATAAAAAAATAAGAATATTTTTATTCAGTAGTCGCTGATTGCTCTCTGTAATCTATGCAAATAACTTAAGGGCAAGACTTTAAGAGAGTTGACACTAAATTAAACAATCCATTTTAAGGCAGCTGACATTCTAATGCATTTGGTTAGTCAGCAACTAAAAAGAAGATGTGGATATTTCTTTATTCATGATGGATACTTCTACATCATGGGTGTCAAACTCGCAACGTCATGTGACGTGTCGTGATGTATCGTGACTTTTTCCCCATTGCCGGCAATGGGGTGGGCACAGTTTTTGCCTGATGTATCTGGCCCACAGGCTGGCAGTTTGACACCCCTGTTCTACATGTATTGATTTGAAAATATTGTAGAGCTCCCTGATCCCACCAGTTCCTTGTTCTTTGCTGCAATTCTTGACTCCACTTTTGCAGAGATGCCGTCATTCACCATTCCTCCCCTCTAATGTGTCGGAAGTGTTAATGAGCTGAGCAGATTTATTTTATTGTCATCTGTGGTGTAGTCAGAGAAATTAGTATTGTCTTTTGCAATGTTTTTTGACAAGTTGGAACTTAGGTTGCTGAATTTTCTCACTGGAGAGAATTTCTGATTCATCTCACTTCAAGGCATCTGGCTTTGATTAACTTAGTATATTTCCTTAGCAGAGAATAAAGTTTGATCAGTTTGCAGTTCAATAGCTGAGTTCTCATGGAATCAAACAACAGAGCATATATAATGCTAGCAATGTACATCTCTTCTATAGATTGAGGGTGAGGAACTTTTTTAAACTAGAAACTGGAGCAGCGATTGAAATTCTTTGCTCCTTATTCCAAGTATTTTGATATCAGTGCTAGTTTGAATCTCTGTGTCAGTTTGAAAATACTTCTGGAGACTTGGAGAGTGAAAACAGTGATGATGTGGAAAGGGTCTAATTTCAGAAGTTGAATATCAGCCATTCCATGTATATTCAGGTTTCACGTGTACGTAAATGAACTTAAGTGCTATTTTTTCATTAACTGATAACAGAAATAGTTTTGAGGAATTGGGTGTATCTTCCAAAGTTGCTAGATGTCCCAATTTGTGTTCTTCTAAGATGAAATAAAAATAATAACCTAATAACCAAAAAAGTACAACAAATTCTTGGCTCCTATCTTATGGTTCTTTCATTGAGCTCTGCATACTTTCTAGTCTTCATTCACTTCTTTATTGATGTTTTTCTTTTTTGGGAGTCAATCATATGTGTGCTGGAAGAGCTTCATTCATAGTTCCTCATGAGGAATAGATAGCCTTCCATAGTTAGAAACATCTTTATCATATGTTACTTGGTTTTTAGCAGTGGAAGATGCTAAGGCTCCCTTTGTGGAAGGGAGTTTTTTCTGTAATAAATCATGAATATTGATAATGTAGCATTCTAGAACACCATGGCTGATTTCAGCTGTTTAACAGTCTACTGTACTTTGATATTGACCAGAACCAACTAATCAGAGTCTTTTAAAAAGACATACAGAAAAACATATCTAAGTCCAGGAATTTCAGTTCCATCCAGTCTCCGTATGTATAAAGTTATCTATAATTTCTACCTTTAGGGGTATTTATTAAACAGTTTTGTTGACAAACTGCAGTCTTCTGAAAATCATCACTAATTCTCCAAGTGTGTCCTGATATACTTTCCATCTGCCTTTGTTTTTTGAACAAGGATGGGCGGAGATAGCTCAGTAACTAGTAGTAAAACCCTATTTAATGCCTGGCTAACAATGGTTCATAAAAATTGGAGCTTTCATACTGGATTCTGTTATGTTTCTGTGGCACAGACAGCCATCCATATGTCCCAGTTTGTCACTCTTTGAGTAAGGACTTTTACCTCTCAGCTTTCAGAAGAATAGGTTGTCCCAATTTTGAAATGCAGTCCCTCAGTAAAACATGCCCTTTTATTTTCTCCAATCATATCACTTTGGATTGTGTATCACATCTTAAGAGTAAGCCCGAGGCAAGGGCTGCATTATTATTGCTCCTACAGTTTATTTTGAGAGAATAACAAATAGTGTTTAATAAGAGGTCAGAGCAGTTGATATTTAGAGCACAATAAAGTTTAGAAAGGAAAAGAAAAACTACAGTTTATAGCTACGTTTCCGGTTTTTAGTAATTACCATTACACAAAAATAGAAGATTAGGATAAAGCTGTGCATCACAAATTATTTTTGGATGTACATTGTTCTGAAGCAGCAGCCGAGTGTTACATAGTAATTCAAGACACGTGCTTAAAGTACTGCAGCGTGTTCATATGTCCAAGTGCACATAACAAATAATCCACCATAAAACAAAATATTTATAGACACTTGCACATATAAATTCTTTTTTTCCTCTCTTTGTATGTGCCTTAGAGATTCTCCAACAGAAAAATTACAGTAGGGAGGAACCCTGCTTTCCATAGAAAATGACCATCTTTCAGTTATTTTTTGTCATTGGCCTCAACATAGGTGGCACGAGTCCAGTGGCATGAAAAGAGATGGTGGGGAGAAGGCATACTGCATGAAAGGATCTGGGATTTCCCTGAATTAGCCTCTCTCAACTTGTTATTAACTGGAGAATTCTTGGGAAAATCCAAAACAAGTATACACTACTGCTTTTCTTGAATGGGCAAATGGATTAGGTGACGTTTCCCCACAACTCATGTTGGAAGACTCTTGTCTAGTCCATCTTGTATGATTCAAGCTCTGGTGGACAAATCAGGGATAATTTCCAGTATAGACTCAAGCCAACTGTATGTTCCTTAAGGCTTTAAAATGGAGACATAATTGTTTTGTAATGCAATTTCAAGGAGCTGTTTCTTTTGAAGCTTTGTACAAAGAAAGTGCTTTTTTTGTCAAGAATCTAAATCACAATCACATGACTATAAATCCAACAGCTGTAAAATTGGGCACTGGTCAGTAAGTCCTTTCGTTCACTGCTGTTGTAATTTTAAATGGTCACTGAATGAACAATTGTTAATTGAGGACTACCTGTACTACTCTTTTACTGCAATTAACAAAATACCGTTTAACACAGTGATATACATGTTTTTTCAATTGATGAAATATACTAAAATAATTAAATTGGAATACCCTGGAACTCCCTGAATTTAAAGGAATTTCCCTGAATTGCAGGAGTGGAATTAATAATCTGAAGTTTGCCTTCCCTGTTATAATTCTTCTAATATTTGTGCCACAGACCCCAATTTTGATTCACTGTCTAAATATCTATCTGACCTGCATTGCCATCTTCTCTTATCTCCTTATTCATGTACACCAGTGATAGTAGTTTTATTTCTGAAGCCTAGAAATTCAAATGCTGGATGATTTCCATATATAATTTAAAATTGTTAAATTTCAGGTGTTTGCTAGAATATTTCACTGTAGAAATCACTGTACACTTATAGTATAGATGGTAATATAAAACCTCAAAGTTTGTGAGACAATGGGAGAGACCCGAACTCAGTGAGTTTTTTCATCTCTAAGAACATGTAACACTTTTTATATCCAGGGAGTTAAATATTTGAAGATGGGTGGTATCGCTAGAAAAGGACAACATGTTGTACCCACAGGTTCTACAAAGTGAGAAAGGTGCAGAGTGCCCAAAAAGAGATAATGAAGTTAATTCTTAAATTCAAAGTTATGTCATAGTACTTATTGGTTTTAGGGTTCTCCTCTCCTTTCCCTTAGTTATTTGATCACGAATCTTAATATCTTTTATAAACTTGCATGTTTCAGTAGCAATTCCTCAATATGTCATGTTGTAAAGTGATTACAGGCAGTTTAATCTGAACCAGTTACATTATCTGTGCTTTCAGAGAATACATTGAGAATCCTGAAGTAACTGAGAGAGTGGATCTTAATGTTTAAAAAGACTTAAAGGCAGCTAGTTAAAATGCAAATCTTGACTAAACTATTCCCATTTAATCTGAAGATTTGCATCTTGAATGAACTAATTTTGACACTTATCTGATTTTATGCTTCAGTGCAGGCTTTTAAACACATTAGCAATGGTAGTTGAATTTCTGAGACATTGTATGGGGATATCTGCCTGATTGTATTCAGAATGACTGTGAAATGATGACCAAAATCACAATTTGCAAGCTTTTGAATTCCTCAGAAATCTTTGTGA